CATCCGTTCATGATGAGTTGCAATTCTGTCAGAGCGGAAATGGCAACTGGACGGCGATATTGCAAATCAGCATCAAACCGGATCAATAAGCGAAACAGCAGCATCACCAACTTCCACAGAGCTGATGAGTGAGATGGTGGGCAGCCCTGGCTGTTCTACAGGAAGCGGCTTCACCGACTCAAATTAGAACCACCATCGCAGGAACAGATGCAGCATCGTGCCCTCGCTGCAACGGCTTTCAGTTCTGCTGCAGACCACACACACACACACACTCTCACACACACACACTCTCACACACACACCAGCGCAGACAAAGCCGGTCCTCCATCTTAGCCTCTGCTAAACGCTGCAGCCCTGTGAAGCGCGGCTCTGTCGGCAGGACGGCTCAGAATTCCCCGGATGGCCACCACTCCGCTCGCAATAAGATGCTGCGCCACAGCGTGTTGCCGTGACAACAGAGGCCTAGTAGACAGGGAGGCAGGTGGACGTTTCCGCGGCGATTAGAGGAGCTCCATCTCTCCCCGTGAGTCGAGCATCACCCCATAGTACAGAAAATCACACAGATAAATATAATAATAATAACAATCATTAATAATAATGTATTTTTATATTGTGCTTCTCTTAGATGCAAGGTTGCTTTGAAAATTTGAAATAAATAAATTAATAAATAACATATATACGCATATATATATATATATATATATTATATATATATATATATTATATATATATATATATATACATGTTTGTTATTTATACAGCAAAGCTGTTAATTAATTTAACCTCTTAACCTATTATTCAATATCTATTGTGAATTATTCAGTATCTGCCAACCACATTTCAGGAAAAGTTTGGACATTTTGAAAAATGCAATAAAAACAAGAATCTGTGGTTTGTTAATTCTGTTGAACCTTCATTTAACTGACAAAAGATTTGTAATGTTAATTTTATTTTGTAAATAAAGAAATTTAGAGTTTGATGAAACACACTCAAAAAAGTCGTGACAGGAGCTGTTTATCCCTGAGTCACTTCACCTTCCTTTAATTACACTGTTTAACCGTTTGGGACCAGAGGCCACGACCTGCTGCAGTCTTGTAAGTCTAATTTTTGACCAATCTTGCTTGATATGTGGCTTCAGCTGCTCAGCAGTCAATACTCGTCATCGTCTGGTTCTCCTTTTCATGAAGAGCTGTACGTTTTCAATAGCAGACAAATCTGGACAGCAGGCAGGCCAGTCAAGCACACACACTCAGTGTGTACGAGGCCACACTGTTGTAACGCACTCAGAATCAGGTCTGGCGCTGTCTTACTGAAATGACCATGGACTTCCCGGGAAAAGATGTTGTTTTGATAGCAGCATATGTCTGTCTAAAATCCCAATGTATGCCTCCACATCAATTGTACCTTCACACATATGCAGGTCATGCACTGATGACCCCACAGCATGACAGATTTTGGCTTTTGTGTCTTTTGAGTCTGGATGGTCCCTTTCGTCTTTGGCATGGAGAATTCAACATCTGTTTTCCCCAAAAGCAAGCTGAGCTATGGATCATCTGACCACAGCACACATTTCCACTGTCTGTCAGACCATCTGAGATGAGCTCGGGCCCAGAGAACTCGGCAGTGTTTCTGCATAGAATTGATGTATGGCTTTCTCCTTCCATTATAGAGTTTCATTTCTTGACGCAGCAGCGGACTGTGTTAAGAGACAGCAGTTTCCAAAGTCTTCCTGAACACGTGTCCATATTTAACACAGCAGCATGACAGTTTCTCAGGCAGTGCCGTCTGAGGGCGCGAAGGTCACACAGATTCAGCAGTGGTTTCTGGCCTTGGCTGAGATTTATCCAGATTCCCTGATTTTTTTCCCAATATTATGTACGGCACATGGTGAAAGACCTGAATTCTTTGCAGTCTTGCGTTGAGAAATGTTCTTTTTGAACTGTTTGATGATTCTCTCATAATATTTGGCAGAAAGTGGGAGCCATGACTCATCTTTACCTGCAGAGACTGAGGCTTTGGTAGATGATCCTACATACACAATCATGATCTCAAATATTCTATAAACTTTTCACTCACATTTTGATCCAGTCCAAACTTTTTTGAGTGTGTTGCATCAAACTCAAAACATGTTTACATTTACAAAATACAATCAGTTTGGTCAGAAAAAAACATTAAAAGTCTTTACTTTGTGCTTTTGTCAGTAAAATAAAAGTTGAAGAGAATTAATAATTAACAGATTCTTGTTTTTATTGTATTTTATTTTAAATTTCCCAACTTCCCTTGAAATGGAGTTTAAAATTTATTAAGTAAGTACTAAAAATTATTCAGTGTGGTGAATTATTCAGCATCTACTATGAATTATGAATTCTTCAGTATCTATTATGAATAATTCAATAACTGCTATACATTGTTCAGTATCTGCTACGAATACTTCAGTAAATACTATACATTGTTCACTATCTATTATGAATTATGCAATAATTACTATGAATTATGAATATTTAGTATCTAAGACAAAACAAATGTTCTGCTATGAAAATGTGTCACGCAGTTATGAGAGTGAGGAACTGAGATGTAAGGGACGCTTAGAGATGAAGGCGTTAATATATCTAAATGTGGCAGAAATGATTCGAACAAATAAAAACTTTAAAGCGTGTCTTTATTTAAAATGCAGCTCTGAATCATCCTGATCAGCGGATGTGAGTGAGAGACCGAATGGTGGCCGTGTGGGCGAGCGAGCTGTGGCTTTTCTGCTGTGTAATTTGTGTACAGCTCCACCAGTAGTTCTCTCTCTCTCTCTCTCTCTCTCTCCCTCGCTCTCTCTCTCTCTCTCTCTCTCTCTCTCTGTTTCTTTCTCTCTCGTTCTCAGCAAAGCGTAGCAGCAGGCTAACTGCGCAAACTACCAGCCAATCAGATCAGCTGCTTTCCTGCACACTGTTAAAGTGTATGAACTGCAACGCAGCAACACTGAGAAACATGAAAACATGGCCGTCCTTCACTCTCGATACGGACTTAAAACTCTCCCTTAAATCAGCAGCCATTTTCTCTTAGCTCAGCTACCTCGTATCAGGTTTAAAATGGCCGCTGAGCTGTGAGGAAATGAGCTCTGCAGCAGGGCACGGGCGGTGAGGAGAACCACTAAAACACCTCCAACCCCAACACTGAGACAGACAGGAGGAGGAGAGGGAGAGAGCGGACGAGAGAGGAAGGGAACTGACTGACAGAAAGAGAGAGCGATAGAGTGATGAAGGGAGAGAAAGACAAACAGAAGAGAAAGAGAGAAAAGGTCAGTCAGGTTTGTGGCAGCTGAGCTGGTCGTGTTTGCTTCTGCATGCCGGACATTCAATGTGCAAAACTTAGGCCAAACAGCACGTCCAGACACCAGGTAATAACCAGCTGATACCTGATCAATATTCAAAGCGCTTAAAGAAATGTGGTGAAAATTATACGGTGCATCTTAAACTGTCCCCCTGTTATATAAGAGACAAACAGCATCGAAGTATTTTTGTTCTTCTGTTTGTTATACCAGTTTTTTTGACACCCATGGCTTCTTACAGTCACTGAACCAACAATCGCTTCGTTAAGTGCCTCATCTAACGAGTCTGAGACGCTGATACAGTAACAGAAATTAATTATTACTCTCCGTCTCTCTGACGGGTTCTGTGACCAACAGTGAAACAGTGAGTCACAACGAGGTTCTCATTTCAATCATTTCTAAGTTATTTATGCTCCTGATGCTCTGAGTGACTTACAGCCAGAATCACCGCTGAAACGCAAACACACAATAAATGCTAATAACATCGGAAAATGATAGAAATTCAGAAATACATCTTTAAAATGTCAATAATCTGTGATGTTGCGATGCTTGTGTGTGGGTTTGGAATCAATGCTGTCGAGAGAAACGTGATTCTATTTATTAGCTAATCACGCTAATAACATAATTTAATTTCAACTGTTTTATTTTTTTTACACTGAGAGCCAAAACCATCACACAGCAGTGTTTAATATAGAAATGTATTAACCTGCTTAAGTTTAACCGCAAAAAGCGCCAAGATGATGCTCAGCTCTGCTAGCGACACTGGTATTTGCACCATGCTACTTTAGCGCTAAGCTTGTGGGGTTAGCAGCTTGATATCAGCTCTAATTTAAATGTTTCAATACAGATATTTTGATCTCATTAGTATCACAGTATTACAGTATTACAGTACCTTCTTCTTTAAACACTTGAACTCAACTGGAGTCTTAGCCTGTTAGCCTGTTTGCTTTCTGCTGACCTGCTCTAATGAGGGCAGAACATGTCCAGTTCTAAAGACAATACAAAGTTAACCAGTTAAAAAGAATCTGTTAGCAGCAACCAGTAACTGCGAATTCTTCACTGGTTCAATGACAGCTTAGCCACACGAAGCTCTGCACTATCTTAAGAGGGTTATGCTTGTTCACCGTCCCAGAATGTGACTTTTAAACAATATGAACGTACATATTTTTAGTAAAACCAGAACTGAAAAAACCTGATATTTCGGCCATGATCTCAAAATACTGTGATCACATGAAAAACTTGTGTATTTTCTTCTCATCAACCTTGAACTTTTAACGAAAATTATCTGGTATGTTATAAATTGTTCCTCTGACCTGTAAGAGATAAACAGAGTTGACTGTTTTTTTTTGTTGTTTTACTAATTTTCCAACACCCACAGATTCTTCGTGTATCAACACCCGTTTTGTTAATTGTTTCGTCTGAAGGGTTAATACAATAACGAAAAGCTGTTCCAACCATTGTTCCAAGTTGATGAATTTCATGACAAACGCTGACTGTTCCGAATGTTTGATCATCTTCTGAAACGTTTTAATCATAAACATTAATGCGGAACGTTAATGAGTCACGACGTCTACCTAATAAGCATTTCACCAACATGCTACGCATAATAAAGCCGCTGCGGAATAATCAGCCCACATCTTCTCTCACAGGAAGTGATCTTGCAGAGCGAGGACAACCATCATTCATTTCCTCTTTTGTTTTTTTCTTGGTCTGTATGAAACTGCTGAGTCATACGGGTGACTGCTGCGCTCTGAAGGCTGCCATCCTGAGAAAAACGTAGGTGCTCAAAAGATCTAAACTTATTTAAGAACGCAGACCGGTCAGATCTGAACAAGTGTAGAGCCAACAGCTCACCAGTGAGCATGATGCTAACTGCAGGCCTCAACAAACAACTCAACAGGAAATGCCTATTTAACAACTCAGCACGGTTTGTGTTGCGAAGCTGAAGTTGCCGCCTTATTCGCAGGTTCTTATTCAACTTTTCCACCTTAAATGGTGCAGCAGTTACGTTCTGGTGCCTGAAGCCCGTTTAAGGCAGCATGGAAATTCAAAGAAGAAGCTGATGAACTGACACGTTTTAGACGAGTCTGTGATGATTTAGGCTTGTAGTTAGCACCATGCTAATTGATGGCTATAAGCTTCCATTACTTGTTAGCTACATTAGCTTCGTAGCTCCAGTGCTAAAACCAAAGAAGCAATTTCAGACATCAAACATCTTGTCTGATTGACCACATTTTGGGGGGGGGACTGGGGAATCTGATTTTGTCAGCATGTCAGGCTTGAAGGTCACTTTGTGGATCAGTTTGCAGACATTCATCCTTTCAGCTCCAACAAAGGGCACTCAAACTCCAGTGCAGTGTTTCTGCATTCCTGGTCTTGTTCCTCATTCTTGGAATCTGTATCCTCAGGTGTTCTCACCTTCAGGCATTCTTGTTCTGACTAGTGAAGAAGAGCACTGAGAGGAGAATGACTGCCTTCATGATTCTCTTGGGAGATGTGTTAGTTAGCTGTATTTAGCGCAGGTAAAAAATAAATTCAACCAAATAAAAGGTCCATCAGCCAGTTTGGCTCTAAAGAACTCAAAACTGGAATCATCCATAACAATGAATGATCTACAGTGCAGGAAACTGAAAACATTCTGCTGGAGTCGCTTGATTCCATTCCCTGCTCCTATTGGTGGACTTTAAGCTGTGGGCAGAGCCTAAAATTCACACAGTTTTATCTCTCACTGCCTCAACTTTACTGCTGACCATCTTTGGACCTGTTAAGAGGTGGATCTTCTATGGCATCATTTCAAAGAACCTTTCATGGCGTCTGTGCTTTTAAAGCTTTAATTTTACTGGAATTCGCCATGATGAGCAATTTCACATTGCAGACTGTCAGGGTGAATAAATTTCGTGTTGAGTTCAGATTTGGTGAACTTTGACAGGCGAATTCATGTCCTAAACCAACAGCATTACAGCTCTGGCTGCATTGACCTCTGAAAGGGCTCCACAGCACCTAACCTCAAATACAGAGGAAATGTTAACAGTGTTTAAGCACAAACCTTTAAACACTTCTAACATAATTGCTAAAAATGAAGAGAGACTGTACGATACGGTCAGTCAAGTCAAAGTTTATTTGTTTAGCGCTTTTTACAGCAGGCCTTGTCACTAAGCAGCTTCACAGAAAATCCAGGTCCAGAAACCTCGAGAGGAACCAAGACTCAGAAGGGAACCATCCTCCTCTGGTCCACACCGGATAGAACAACAACACAAGAGGAATATGAGCAGAGAATCAGTCAGTCAGCAGGCTCTATTATTTTCTTTATGTTTGTGGTTTTACTGCTTGTTTTAGGTGAGTTAGCCAGCCTACTAATGTCTACATTAGCTTGTTGGCTAACAGCAGCTGCACACAGTTCACCCCACCGTCACCAACCCCTCCACATATCTACACCTTACTACCACAGGTCAGTGTGCAGTGCTGCGGTGGTCCAGCTTTGGTCCACAAGGTGACATAAAGTGTGAATGTCTAGAGTGTCTGCAGCTTAGGAGTGTCTAACACCACCGATTCTCACTCCTGGCCGAGAGATTCACCCCTTTACATCAGCATTACCGTGGCAACAGTCATAGGTGGAACATATACCTGCCCATTTCTGCCTTCATTACCCAGCAATCCTCAATGAGGGGTTACTGCTCCTCTCTGAGTTTCAGCTCTGATGAAAAACCCGTAGAAACCATTAAGTGTTTCTGTTAGCTCCAGATGGTTTGGGCTTTTTTAATGGGTTGATATCACAGTGTGGGGTCCTACTGCTTTAACAGAAGACCAGTGGCTGATCCTAAATGCATCCAACGGTTTTCTAAAGGGATCTAAAGGTGCTCTACAGGAAATGAGTGGTCTCTATTCTATTCCTATTAGAAAGCAAAACTATTTGATTTTAATCCTGATATTTTCTAATGGTTTTGCTGAAAAAGACCCAAAAACTCAAACACACGCTCTCGGCTCGGCCTGTGATCTTGCTGATGGTGCACTCAGCTCACAGCGGGCAGCAGTAGCAGATCTCAGACCCAGGTGTTTGCTCTGGAGGCAGACGGCTGGAGCATGCTCAGTCTGCCTCTCTCTGAGGAAACGTCTTGCCTCCATGAGTCCAGACGTGCTTTGATTCTCACGGACGGGCCCAGCGCGGTATCTGAGACAGACACTGTGGGAGTGAAGTCACAGCAGTGTTTGTGTTAAACGTATCGGACAGACACAACTTTCCCTCAGTTCTGACAGATGTTGTTACTTGCAGTTTAGTGGTAAGTCCTCCTCTGCTTTGTAGGGTAGAACTGATAACTCTGCAGTCCGTTCTGCATGTAACAGCTGTTCATATTTTGGGTGCAGCTCAGATCTGTATCTTTATCTCGAACTATGAGTTCTAAGATCGAGGGGCTGTTTGTGTCGTCTGCTGCTGTCTGGGCTTTGTTTGTCTGGCTCTTCGTCAGCAGTCATTCAGACGAGCTGCAGCAGTCAGCTGATAAACATGCAGTGACGTGTACATGCTGCTTCTCTAGTTTCTAATGGCTGAGCTGTGCTGCCCTCTACTGCTTCAACATAGAACTGTCTACCTCTTTTCTGAAATCTGTTAATGCTGCTGTGTTTTGTTTGTGAACTGGTCACCATTGCTTGCTTCTAATCAATTCTGTAGTGAAATATCCTGAATGGTATTGATTCCCACACATTATTTTGTATGCTACTCTTTCACAAAATGTTTTATGCTCAGGAAAGAGCGCATCTGTTATGTTTTTAAAGAAGAAAATTCTGAATATCCTAATGGAATGCTTGTGTATGTTCATTTCTCTAAAACATAATAAGTTTTCCCAAATATACTGAAATATAAACATGAATGCATGACAAAAAGTGTGAGATTAAAGATGAATTTGAAACCGATTTACATGTGACTCATTTTTGTCCTGATGTCCTATATTTATGTTTATTTGTTAAGTCAGCCTTTTTAACTGGTATTTGCCAATATGTAGTGAAAATGTAGTGAAACTTTCATGATTTGGCAGATTTCAAGTACCTAAGAGCTGCAAGTATAACATCTGAAAATGTTCAAGTGTCATTCTTTTCAGTCATTTCTTTTTATACCACTGTGAAGACTGACTCTAAATTTCTTCTGTTTTGCCCACCGCAGATGATGGTGGTCCACCCCAGCACTCACGGGATGATGGACAGTTCCCATCCCCACCTGGTCCTCACTCGGCTCAGCGAACAGCGCTCGCGTGGCCTGTTCTGTGACGTCACCATTGTTGTGGAGGACATAAAATTCCACGCTCACCGGAATGTCCTGGCTGCCACAAGCGGATATTTCCGCAATGCTTTCACAGCCTCAGAGACCTGTGTGTCCAGCCAGGTGGTGGAGCTTCCAGACCTGAAGTCCGACGTGTTTGCCAGCATTCTCAACTTCATTTACTCTTCCAAGGTGGAGTCAGCCAGCACGGAGGACAACAAGTCTCTAGTGGCCGCCGGTAAAAAGTTAGGAATCCCATTTCTAGAGAAGCTACTAGAGATTGGAAAACAGGAGCCTGAAGCGTTCCAAAACCAGACCTCTGCTAACTCAGAAAGCTCTTCTAATCAGCCAAAACTTTCTGGACCTTGCACTCTAAAGAAGGAGACACCACGGCTTGAGGAGCAGGACTGCTCCAAAGGCCCACGAATAACTAACGCTTTCTCCATCACAGAGGTGACATCAGCCAACCCGTTTACCCCAATGGAATTGCACAGTAATGGCCCCCAGTCACAAGACGTGGGGCACCATCTGTCTGGCTGCTCAGCACCAAACATGCCAGCTTTAGAAAGTGACCCCCTGTCTGAACCCACCCATGCCCTGTCTGAACATTCATATGCCGTGAGCAAAGGTCATGAGACTTCTGACCTTAAAGAGGGAGCGCAGTTATGTGATAAAGGGGGAACCAAGCCTGTGTTGATACCACCTAAGACTCCGACCAACCACAGGCTTGGTCCCATTAAGAAGCGCCACAGACTTTGCAAGGGGATGATGGCCTCCATTTCTAATGAAACAAGTGTACCTGATCAGAATCCCGTTAGCAGCCCAGGGATACAAAAGACCAACCCTGATCCATCATCCTCACTGCAGTCTTCAGACACTGCGACTGACCATTGCTCTGCCCCAAACTTGTTGCCCCCACCTGAAGTGACATCCCCACAAGATGCTGACCCACCTTCCTTAATTCCTGAAGAAATACCAACTTACAGCTGCCAGCAATGTCCTGAAACTTTCAGCAACTCTGCACTTCTCAACATCCACATGCAAATCCACAAGAGAAGATTTGTCAGTCATTTGTTTTGCAAGTACTGCCAAAAAAAGTTCATGCACTTGAAAAGGTTGCGAAATCATGAACAAGTGTGTTTGAAAGGCCCACCTGAGCTGGAACTGAACAGCAAAGAGGCTCCAGTCAGTCTAGATTTGGATAATACTCCTGGCGTGGATGATACAGCTTTCCCAATTCCTGATCTTCGAGACCCTCCAATGCTGACAAGCCCATTGGAGATGCCTCAGAACGGAATTACTAAGCCGAGCGGTGGTCAGCGGGTATATAAATGCTCCGTTTGCAAACGAGCCTATGTGACTCTGTCCAGCCTAAAAAGACATGAGAATGTGCATTCATGGCAGAGAGCCTATCCTTGCCACTATTGCAATAAGGTTTTCGCCTTGGCAGAATACCGTACCAAACATGAGATCTGGCACACAGGGGAGCGACGCTATCAGTGCATTTTCTGTTTGGAGACCTTCATGACTTATTACATCCTCAAGAACCACCAGAAGTCCTTCCATGGCATTGATCCACGTCTTGCTGCAAATAAAAAATCTGCAAACGGTGGTTTCAAGGGAAGCGTCTACCCCATAAAGCTCTATAGACTTTTACCAATGAAGTTCAGGAAGAAAAGATACAAGTCTTACAGTCAGACTTACTCCGACATCATGGACAACCACGAACAGTCCTTCACTGCTCCACTAGACACCAACTCACCAACTGCTCCACTTGAAGGTGCAGTGCCTGCAGGTGATCCCGACAGCGTCGTTAGTGGTCAGTCGTTATTTTCAATGCCTGTGACCTTCATGGCGACCCCAAAGATGGTGGCTTCAGAAATGCCTCGCATTTCCTTTGACCAACCATGTGACCAAAACATAGATCTGCCCTTAACTTATGAAAATATGCCCTGTACACAAGGTGGGGGCTTGCACTCTACTAATACACATAGAAAAACTGGGCTGCCAGGCTTTGAAGGTACTGGGTCACCTGTTTTCAGCTATGGGTACGGCACTTCAGTGACGTCACAGGAAAACGCGGGGTCCTCCATGTTAATGCACGGAAATAACACATCTTCCACACAAAACAGCAGCAACGCAAACAGAGACGTTATGCCGTTCCTCAACATTCCACCTGTCTGCTCATTTGAGGGCTTGAGTAAACTTAGCGAGTTATCAGCTGCAGCACAAACCATTGAGGCAATGGCTAACCAGCTTCTTCAACCACAGCCAGAGAGGACACAGAACCTGAGCCCTGGTGGAAAGACAGAAACGTACATCGCCAAGCCTGCTTGTCCTGGTCCATCGATCAATAACCAAGTTTTGCCCTTGTGCCAGATAACTGTGAAAATCGGCAACGAGGCCATTATTCGGCGCAAAATTAAGGGCTCAAAGCTGTTCCCGAAGAAGAAAAAGAGGAGAAGCTGGAAGCAAGTGGAAGATCCAAGCAGCCCAGCAGAAGATGGTATAGGATGCCCAAGCCTGCGTCTACGGGCAGAGGTTACAACATCGGTCACGGATAACGAGCCATATGATGATGTGAACGATCCTGAAAATGACAAACCGTGGCGTCCGTATTACACATATAAACCAAAAAAGAAGGGCAAAAAGTTAAGATCCAGACAGAAAAGGATGAAGGCAGTTCAGTACTACACAAAGCCCCTCTCGCCTGAACCAGACGATGACTTCGCAGATGCAGACCGCAGTCCAGAGAAACGTCTCCCGGCAGAAAACCCGGAGTCCAGGAGGCAGCTGAGGAGTCACAGCCCGAGGGAAGCGTTCCCCTGCAACAGCTGCGGCAGTTCCTTCTCCTCTCCGAGCTCTCTCAGCATGCACGTGGTCAGCTGCCATCAGCCTCACTGCAAGACGTGTGGTAAACAGTGTCCCTTCGAGAAGCTTCCTAGCACAGATGCTTCACTCACAGGGAACGGTAGTGACTTTGTCTGCCAGAGCTGCACTGAGGATGGTTCCTGCTTTAGCTCGGACGTGGCAGCCCACAGCCTGAGCAGTGAGAAACGCTACCGCTGCTCCTACTGCCCACAGCGGTTCCTGTACCTCGCCACCAAGAAGAGCCACGAGGCAAAACATCTAGAGAAGTCCAGCAAGGGGCGCAACTATCGGTACTGCTCAAAGCCCTGCAAGCCTGCAGCACTGCTGAGCATGAATGAGACCAAGCACTTCAGTAAGGCTGCAGTAGTTAGAGAGCCAGATAACACTGAGATTAAAGGCACTGTGGGGTCATATTCCCCTCTTTCAGAAAGCAAAGAGATGCCCAAGCCTGAGTCATGGGGAAGCCCTCAAACTCCAAAAACAGAGAAAGCATCAGACTCGGACACTGAGGGGATTTATCAGAAACTCCCCCACATTCATAAGAAAACATCCCTATCGTTTCCTTTTAAAAGCGACAGGCCTTTTTCACCCCTCCTCACAGAGATGCACAGGAGAAAGTCTAAGAAAAGGCACTTTCTGGAGCGTTCTAAAGACTTCGGCCTGGACGGGCACAGACAGGACTCCGAGACACAGGGCCAAAAGGGCCGTCTGCCCAGCACTGCAACAAACAACCATCTCAGCACTTCCAGAATCTTTCCGGCGTGTCTGACGAGAGTGCCCGTCACCAAGGGAGCCTCTCTGCACTCGCCCAAGTCAGAGTGGCGTTTGTGCAAAGAGGAACCTTTCTTTCACGCCCACGACTGATTGTGCAGGAAGGAAGCACATCGTCTGTTGATGTCACGTAGTAAACTGAAATGACGTTAATGAGAACGACTGCCTCGCAATATTAATCTCACACTTTTGAAGTGTAAAACGAAAGTGTTGTTATCGTCACTTTACAACTGAGCACTTGTAAGACAGCCGTGTAAATATAGAGTATTTTTGTTCATTCACACAAAAAAATTGCTGTTGGTAGTTTTTCATGTTTTTTCTATGAGAAGAGAAATGATTTTATTTTTGTACGTTTTTATTTGTGTGTTTATTGCTCATTGTGAATTTAACTGGGTTGGCAGCAGCATGACCCCATCACGCTTCATTCTTAGCGTAGCAGGATTGTGATACTTCCTCCACTTCCCTGTTAAACCCACTGCCTGCATTCAGCAGCAACTTATTAAACTTTCCATTCACAATTAGTTGCACACTTTAAAGGGGAATTCCACCAATTTTTTACTAAATTTCTGCATAATTCAATATTCAGAATGTCATTCAGAGCAGTTTGGTGTGAAACGCTCTGTTCTAGAGAAACTTACTGAGTCAGAACTGTTCACAGTGGTGGTGATAGGAACCAGACATCCACCTCTAAAAGCTCCCTCACAGAAAGTTCCTACATGAAATGGTTATGAATTCACTGCCTGATGACTGAGACACATAGTTTTGAGAATATTTTGGCCTTTAAATCAGTTTTTACCGTCATCAACATTCCATATAAACTCAGAAGACACGTGTAGCTCTCATTAGCCACATTTACATGCAACCTGATAATCCATGAATAATCTGACTAATAGCTCAATCAAAATAGAATACATCCATGTAAACACATCAATCCGAATAGTCTAGTCCGATTGAGGCCTTTCGGAATACGGTTTCTATCCGTTTGAGCGAGGTGGGTAATCCTGTAAATAATCTGTTAACCTTTTAAACTCCTTGAGACCACCGGTGGTTCCAAAACACACTTCGTCATATTCTTCACAACTTTCACATTTCATAAGCTACATTCTAAAGGTGGGGGTCGTATGAGGCTGTAACTGTCTTCTTTCCAGTCAAATAGATGGTGATGTAATTTTAAACCCTTATAATAAAAGAAGCTGAACTCACTTTTTTTTTTCTACTGAAAGTCGACCCATTTTTCCACAAATCTGGTCTGTAAACTATAAACAGACGGCGTCTCTTCAGTGATCTGCTCTGTAAACATTATTTTTATAAAAAAATACAAAGAGCGTCTAAGATTTTTGGCTTTGAGCAGTAAATTGTAAGCATATAGCAATATGTGTATGATCATAAAACATAATTTGAGGGGAGCTTTTGCAAAAAAAAAAAATAATAATGTACATTTATTTCATGCAGTTACTGAATAATTTGCCTTATGATTTGGTCATGTGAATTCAGAAGGAAAAACTAAAATACACCCTGGTCAATAAGAGGTTTTAAATAGAAAAATAATACCCGCGTAAACTCCTGTATCTGATTACATTCCCTATCAGAAAGTTTAAGTCTGTTCTGATCATGTTCGTCGTGTCGTAGTGAAAGTTTATACGTTCAACATGGCGGAGCAGAAACTGGTCTGCAGAGGAGACGAAGTTTATGCTCTGATCTTTAAAAGACGGCGGTGGGACGGACGTCCAGCTTATGTGTCTCAGAACACGACGTCTTCCTCTCGGCCTTCTTTAATAAGGACATGTGAAGGACGTTTTCCTGAGTCTGACATCATTTTAAAGCAGTTAAAAACACAAGCACTGCTCGCTGCTGCTCGTCTCACTCTGACTGGACTCACATGATGCTGATTGTCATGGTAACGTCTGCACTAAGCGGTTCTCTACGCATGCGCGTCAATTTGGATCTGATAACTTGTAGTGATCATGTAAACTGAGATTTTCATCAGATTGTTGAGTAGAGTGAGAATAAACACCTCAGTCTGAATCTGTAATCGGAATGAATTCAATCGGATCTGCAAAATAGGATAGTAAATAAAATGTTTATATCTGTGTTGTAGTCATGGCGACCTCTGGTTCCTATCACCACCACTGTAAAGACGTCTGAACCATTTCACACCAAACCACTCTGAATCTCTCTGATTACATAATTCAGCCTCAAACAATGAGTTATGTGAAAGATGTAGGAAAATTGGGGGAATTCCCCTTTAATATTTCAGGAAGGTTTTGGGCGTTTAAGTCAGTCGTTTTGTTAATAACCACAGAGATGCACTGATAGTAATTACAGTCACATGTTTTCTTCCTCTGCACATAAAGAAGAGAACGGCATCTGAGAGAACTGTAAACTCACCGCTGGAACCGACAGAGGCACCAGATCATTTTCATCAAAATGTTCATCACTCTGGACGACGCACAATAAAATGCATTCGTTTATAAGTTTTTACAATTGACGTGATTAATTGAGCTATTTTAATTAGTGATTATGTGGTGATCAGTGGTTCTGCTGAAGGAGACTCAGTAATAACTTCTGTACAGAAACATTACAGACTTTATTAACAGCGCTTTTATAAAATGTCTTCTAACAGAGCAGGTTTTGTTCTGTATCTACTGACGGGTCTCACCTCTCCTCGCTGACCAGTTTCCCCTCTCCTCACTGACCGGTTCCCCCTCTTCTCACTGACCGGTTTCAGAAAGATACTTTATTTGTTGCATATAATTACAGTCGCTGTCTAAAGAGTCCAAATAACCACATG